CCCCAAAACCCCAAAACCCCAAAACCCCAAGGCTTGAGATATTGATTGAAATGAAAGTTTAGTGTTTTGGATGTGAGGTTTGGATCTAGTTTTTATTGGATTTTTTATGTTAAATATAAGGATACAAAGCTGTAAGAAAGTTATCTCAGAGAATAATGCTTTTTATCTAGCTCAAATCTGGTAGGCTTTATTTCTTAACTGGAATTTTCCTTAAAACTTAATTAAGGGCAAAATTTGGTCCTAATCTTTCAATTTTTTCTATAAAAAAGGATATGAGCAATTATGAGTTATAGCATGAAAAATCAATGAGTTTATTCATTAGCATATTCCTAATTTGATTTCTTAGAGTCTTTAGCATCCTTGTATTTCCTAATGGAATTAGAGGTACTAATATCTTTTTTTTTTAAGAAATCTTTCCTACATTTCAAAGTTTAGACTGTAAATTATAAATAAAAGTTTAAAATAAGGCTTCCTCAGAAATTCACAAAATGAATCGAACGAAAAGTTCATGTAGCTGACAAATAATAGAAATCGTAATACCAAGTCCTCTAACTTTTGAGTCAAGAAGAAATTATTACCTCTGGCTCTCTACTACATAAGAGGGATATCTGAAAATGTCTAAGAACTTCTAAGGATCTTTTGGAGACAAGTCATCGCTAAATGTTCTGACCATTTTAATACTTGAAGGAACTCATCTGAGTGAGCCTCAAGGTTGAGTGGCTTTAAACTCGGGAATGTAAATTCTTACTCTATTAAAATTAGGCTATTATTTGGCAAACTTTTTGTCATAAAACGATAAATGAATATTTAAAACAGAAATTCAAAAGTCTTAGAATCGAGAATGTTTAATTGAAGTAATCCTGTATAAAGAGCTATAAGGAATTCATATCAATTTTGCTAAAATAGATGACTTATATCTGGAAGGCTAGATATGAAGCCTATTGAAGACATCATCTATAGGAGGACTCATAGCAAAGTATTAGCAACAATCATTTATAATATATTATGATAATGCTAACTAGAAATTTCCTCGTCATTGAGGTCAACTTTAGGAGTCCTTGTAACACTATACTTGCATTTTTGGTCCCTGTTACAGATCACAACTAATAAACACGCTTCATAAGTACTGGTCTATCAGAGAGTTCCTTTTAAATCAGCAGCTTGATAGTTTTTACCATTCCCATAATTTAGTTATACAAATTTGCACAACGTGGTGACTAGTATTTCTGGATTTCCTCCAGAATTCTCTCAAACAATTGAATTTTGTCCATGATAAATTTTATAAGCGCATTGCTAGTCATATAGACTCTGAAGAGCTTCATGGAGGAATTATGTATAAGGTTTCAAATTTTTGTCAGATTATCATCTATTACAAAATACCTCAATTTTAATTCTTAGAGAGCAGTGATACCAGAAAATTGTTAATTTTGAGCCCATTCACTATGAAAAGACTTATAGCTCGTGTAGCTTGGATTCTTGACGAAGTAGGAGCGGTGAAATGGCATTCCAATTTAGAATATGAAATTTTCATAACCTTATATACTATCAAACTGTAGACAAAATATGGTATTTTTCAAGTGATAAAATAGGGACTTATTTGCAGATTATTTAAATAAATTGTCTCGTGATGTAATGACAGTCTTAAGAGGACTTCTCCATGATGAGTCTTACTAGTTCTCCGAGTTTTCTATCACATTGTCAGATTTTCATGAAACTACTAGCTGCCAGATTTTCATAAATGTGCAGACGTTCTGAAATTTACTTCCAAAATATCAAGGCAATTAATGGATTTTACCTTTTATGAAATTAAACAAGTGCCAATAGGAACACTTATTTTCTTAAAATATATAAGTGAAGTACGATTGGAGGAGTAAAGGAAGGATTCCAATCAGTTTAACTTAGTAATAACCAGCATTTTTGGTTTTTCTGAAATAATTCTTAATCCTATTAGGAATAATTGTCAGCAAACTTGTCGAGCCAACACACTTTATGATTCACTTTGATAGTACAAATACATCCTATTGCTCAAAAAAATCACAAAGAGGGGCTATATGGAAACTAAAAACAAGTAATCATACAGGTAATTCTGAAAGACTCAAAGCATAGATACTTTGAAAGCAACTAAATAGTATTTTTGATGATTCCTCCTAACTTTAACTAGCAAAAGATTCTCCTAAACCTCTATAGGGTCTAAAACTAATCCCTATAGTATATATTCTCCCAAGAAAATACAAATAAAATCCTCAAAATGAGCCAAATAGATGGTCGAACTCTAAGTTTATTGAACTTTTAGAAAAATTAGTTAGGCTGGCTTCCGTACAACTGGATGAACTCTACAGGGTGAAGCTTCTTTTGGTGCACCTAGTTAAGTTAGCATGAAAGCTAATGTCTTACCTTCAGGTTGTACTTCTCTGTGTACTTTCTGTCACAATACTGACACTGATGGGTCCTTCTCTGCTCTACATCAGGGACTGAATGGGTCTTCATGTGCTTGATTAAGTTCCCATTCTGAGTATAACTCTTATCACAAATATGACACATGTGAGTTCTGAGTTTGTAGTGGTACTTCTGATGTTTGTCTCTGGCCTCTTGACTTCTAAAGGGTTTACCACAGCCAGGATAAGAGCAATCAAATCTGACTTTGGGTTTTGGAATTTTAAATGAATTGGGAGAGCTATTACTGGTGGTATCTATTAAAATATAAAAGCTTGCTAGTTATATCGGCTTACAGTTAGGGATGAAGAATGGTTGATGATAGATCTGGGCTTGCTGAGGATGTGAATAATTTGAATGTTTATGATTCCTAATTATTTTAACTATGGTCTACCATGATGGTGCTGTCATTGGCTCTACTGCTTGGCAAGCAGTTATAGTTTCATCAAGTTCGTTATAGTAAGGAACTCTTGATGAATCTTTGGAAGAGGACACTTGTAAACCGTAAGTTCAGTTTGCTGATATCAGATTATTGACTGTTTCATTATCTCAGAAGCAATAATCGAGCTTCAAAGCTTCCATAATTTCTATATTCATGGCAATTTCGTTCAAAGCTGGAAGCTGAATTCTTTCAGTTCTTTGAAAATCTAAATGAAGGTCAATCGATTGTTAGCATAGAGAGAACCTAAAATTTTATCTAATAAATTTAAGCAATCAGGATTAGGTGAAATATTTAAAACAGTTTTCCTGACTAACACAGTATATAAAAGTTTATAAGCCAAATCTCCACAAGAGTATAAAACAAGTTAGGCATACCTTATCCTAGCTAATATATCAGAGAAGTCTAAATTTAAAAACCAGTCCAACGAAATAGTCTATGTTACCAATGAAGAGCTAAAAATTGATAATAGGAATAAAGTTAACTATATTTTAACGCTAAGCAATCATCAACAAAGCACTGGATTTATAATTAGTTGAGCCACTACTAATTCTAAAGGTTAAGTAATAGATATGCATACTTCAAAAGATTCGAGAGCAACCTAGTCATTGCCATACAATCTGATTAAGCCAAAGAAAGTATCTCCTGAGTGTATGCAAGTATGCCATTAAGCATCTTTACTAAGTTCTTTATTAGTAAAATTGGAGGGTTTACTGCATCGAAATAAGAATGTGCTTTAAGAGCCTCCAGCTTTTGCATACAATAATCGGTGGAATAGGTGAAGTCTGAGGAGAACTTAAAGTGAGTCTTGGCAATTTCAAAAATGTAATCATAAATACTCCCTTAGTCTTTTGTGTTTATTAGGAGTGTAGTTGCAAATACCTTCAAATCTCAAACAATCTCTACCCTTCATTCTTTAAATTTATTAACCTCAACTCCTCTTCCCTTATACGGGGTTTTGGGGTTTTGGGGTTTTGGGG